AATATCAGCCCATTTCCTTGACAGCTGATAGCTATCTGCAGGAATTTGGCTTTGCAGACCTGAAATAACAAACTAGGAAGTAGGAGGATCTCTGTGGAATCCAGCTTTAGGCTAAGTATTTGATAATCTGGCATAAGATCACTGCATAAAAACCAAAGTGACCCACATTTGAAGACTGAATGTTCTTACCCATTATGAGGAATATATATTTATAGGAGAACTGTAAGAAAGTGTAAAAAATACTGATCATTTAATGGTTTTAGCCCTAAGTACAACAGGAAGTACAACCACAATCACGTGGTAAGTAATTCTCATGGAAACTGATAATATTTTCCATTAAAATGGAATTTATTTTGGGCTATGATCTGCTTAAGGACACAGAATGCATAATGCTGCAGCAAGATGCCATATGTAGAAAAAGAAAATGGCTAAACTGTGGGTATGACTGGAATGTGGAGAAGGAAAAGCAGAACTCGGCATAAGAAAACCTGTCCCAGTACATCATGTTACAGGCAGGAAATGTTCCCTGCCCTCTGTTACCACTAGATTTCACTGCCTGGGTTTCCCTGCAGTGGACTGAGTAAATAATGCAGGTGGAAAAAGTCAGCATGGCTCCTTCCCTGGTCCCTTAACTGCGTCATGGATCTCTCCTAGCTCAGGGACAAAAAGTATTAATTAACTGCCTTACCAGACACACTGCCTCCATGTCTGCCAAGGCTATCACCAGCCAACACAAGCTTCCTTTCCATCCTCTGTGGTCTGGGATCCACCTCCAGCACAAACCTGGGCTGTCAGTCCATGTTCCAGTGGCATTGCAGGGTGCCCATTCCAGCTTGCCCAGTCCAGGCATGGGTCCCAAAAAGCCAAGCCCACCAGGATACCATGCCTGCCTGGGCCCCACAGCCCTGCTGGGCTTGGCTGAGCTGCAGGATGATTTCCTGATTTGAACTCATCCTGTCTCATCACCGTGAACATGCTCTATGAACACTCAGCAGGGCTAAACCTGCTGAGAATCTCCTGCTCTGGTCCCTGGATGGGGGCAGTGGGACAGACAGACCACGGTGTTAGCACACTCAGCTCCTTGCTCCCGGGCCCTCAGGGAGCTGCCAGCCCTCACAGCACCTGAGCAGGAGGTTTGCAGTCCCATGATAGCCACATTCTGCCACCAGAAATTACACCCAGGAAATGACACCCTAACCCGCCACAGCCTTGGGCAGCCAGTGGATCTTGTTGCTGTAACTACAAGCCACAGGTTGGGTGGCAGTGGGGCAGTCCTGAGGGAATTGGACCAGCAGAAGTCCTCTCAATGTATGGGCTGTGGAGAAGTTCTTGGTAGATGGATCTATTGATTTCCCACAACTGAAAGTTACAGTAATGAGGCCTCACTTCTGTTTCTTCAGCTCCTTCTTGAGAAACAAATGCCATGGAATAGGTCTATCAGACCATATGGCACCATAAGTGGTTGGGGACTCAAGAGAAGAGATGAGGCCAGCAGAAATTTGTTTTGATTAACAAGAAGGGTTTTATTAACTTGCCTGACAGTGTTCAAGGCCAGGCTGGATGAGGCCCTGAGCATGGTCCTTCCTGACACAGTGGGTGGCTTCCTTGCCCACAACAGGGGCATTGGAGGTGGTTGATTTTTGAGGTCCCTTCCAACCCAAACCATTCTATGACTTCTATGATGACTTGCCCCTAGGTGGGATGTATTCGTGATCTCCCAATGTACAAAGGTAATGGTGGCTGGTTCACCAGGTACAGCGTTCCCATTTACCTTCCCCGCTATCTAGACAGGTTATCAGTGTGGGTATGAAGCAGGTGTGAGATGCCAGGATCAGGCTTTGGATGAGGGTGGTGTACCTACAACATCTCCCAGCATTTGGGAAGTGCTTGGCTTTTATGCCTGGGGTGAACGGTGTCAAGCTAACCCAGTACCCAGACCCCTGTGGGGAAACTGAGTCAATAATGGTGCTTTGTCTCAAGCCCCTGACACTCAACAGCTATAGCAACCTCCACCAAGAGCATTTTTTGCAGCTGCCACCAGAGGAGGGTGTGTGGATGCCCTCCATCTTTAGAGAAGAAGAGAAGGAGATCTCTGTCCTTGGATCCTCAGCCCCAGGGAAAAATGGGGGGGACTCTAGTCCCGAAATGCAATACTGGACTGTTGTTCCTGGTGGTCCTTGGCAAAGCATCCTTAAAGGGGCCCTATAAGCAGTCTCTGTCCATGCCCGGTGGTGAGAGCACTGTGACATGGAGAGGAGAGTGTCACACTGGCCGGTGTGTCTGGGCAGTGCCACGTGTGACATTGGAAACACAAGAGGTGGCAGCTGTGTTTCCTGGGGGTCTGTGGTGCAAGGGGGACTCCTCTCTTCCCCGATAGATTCAGTATTGATTATATTGAAGGGTGAAAACTGGGTTAAGGATCTAAATGGGTCTCGCTGTGGTATGTTGGAGTTGGGTGGTGGGAGGAGGAATGTTTTGGAAGGTTTTCATTTTGAAGTTTGTGTGGTTTTTTTTCCTTTTTCTTCCCCTTTAAGTTATTAGTAGTAGTGTAATAAAGTCTTTCCTTTGTTATTAAGTTTGGCCTGCTTTGCTCTGTTCTCGATCGCATTTCACAGCAGTTGATTGGTAGGTTGCATTTTCATGGGGCGCTGGCATTGTGCCAGCATCAAACCATGAAAAACAGTCAATGCTAATGGAAAATACTCTTACCTTTACAAGGAATGGCTTCAAATAAAGCATTCCACTAAGTGAAGTCCCCCTTCCTTTTTTCCTCAAAGAAGGACTTATCTGCAAACTCTTCTGCAAACATCCTAGCAGTGAACAGTGTTTTACCTCCCTTGTTGCCTGTGGAAGTGTCAACCCAAGTGTGAACAAGATGCTGTGTGATGGGGCACTCCTCTCACATTCAAACAATCAGTAGTGGTTATTAAAGATACACAGGCAGGTTATTAAAGATTATTTGTATGAAGAAACAGACTGAGAAAAGTTGATGTGTATTCCCTGTTCCAGAGCTAGAGAAAAAACAAGGTCACCAAACTGCCTTGCAATCAAAGGTTTCTGGAGATGCAGGCACAAATAGCCCCTTTGGAGAGGGGCTTAGAGGGAAACCCAACTTAGTATATATATAGAGGAGACAGCATAACAAAGATGAGGTTTCGTGGCATCTTACCCATACAAACAAACCACTGCAGCTGTCATCAATATTGAAATTCTCATGATCTTACATGAGTTTCATCTAATTTCTATCTTTCCCCTCAGATGAACTGAGGAAATAATCCACTTGTATTATCTCCATGTCTGTTGAGAATGATGAACACATGTTGCATTTGTATGTGTAAAAGGCTTTATCTTATCTCATGGGTCTGGGAGACTGAGAGACACAAAAGGATGGAGCTATGATTGTTCTTATTTTGGAGCAATAATTTAAATCTGAGTAAGAAGCACACCTTTGACGTGTAGCTTCAAAAGAAGTTAAAGGAAGCACGGCACATCCTGTTTCAACAAACCCTTTTCCAGTAACCCTAAGGAAGATCTTCAAACATTGTAAGGGTTTTGGAAGCTGCTTACCTTCATTCATAGTCTTCCTGTTTTCCTCTAAGGTCAAACAGATTTGTATGTGAAAGGACAGTCTGCAGTTGTGAAGCCACGTGCCTCTTCTTGTTTACACCAGTTCTGCAAAGCTACCCAGAGCCTCTGCCTTTTCTTGGTATTTTCAAACTCAATAAAACCACAAAGACTTGAAGAGCAGAATAGGTGGTGTATTTTAAATGCTTTTTCAAAGGGTGATTTGTTTCAATGTGCTCTCATTATTAAAGTAGGGCATCTGCTGAAATAAAAACGAAATTGTGCACAGAGAAAATGGAAATGCTGGGAAATATAAAGTCAAGAAAATTAATGAGTGTTAACAATGTCCATGGTGCAGCCAAGTTCAGACCTATCTGCTGTCCACTCCAAAATCCACATCTTCATTCAAGGGCTTCCCTCTCTTACAAATTCTTCTCAGTGGCACTCAAGTTCTTCTTGAAGCTAAGTGAACAAGCTCTGACAGTTATATAAATGACTTCTCAATGCATGAGAATCATCCTTCTGAAATCAGCACAGGCAACAGAAATCAGCCGTAGGCAACAGAGAGTCAAAGTCAGATTGGAGAAGACCCTTAAGGTCATTGAGTCCAGCCATTAATCCAGCACTGCCCACCACTAACCTCTGTCCATAAACACCATGTCTGATGATCTTAGAGGTCTTTTCCAACCTAAACAATTCTATGATTTTATGAGTCCACGGATCTGATGGCATAGGTACTTTTTTATCCATCTAACTGTGCACCCAGTACAAGTGTAATGTATTCCCTTGGATACACTGCAGAGGAATTGCTGGCAGAAGAACCTGTTCAGATTTGGCACATATGCAACCCACAGCCATTTGCCTGTGTGTCCAAGGTTTTGCTCCGGGCTGTTGAGGCCCTGCAGGGCTGCATGACCTTGCCCTGGGCTGCAAGCAGACAAGTGAAGCCCAGAAGATCAGTCTAGCTGCATTTCCCTGAGACTGCCCCTGAACACAGGGCATGAAGGAGCTCCTGGGATCAGAGGCTTGCTCTGGAGTCCTCTTCTTGGACTCAGCAGGAGACACTGGAGGGCAAACAATGGTTTTCCAAGCAAACTCCCCTGTGGACCCCTTCCAGACTATCCTCACCTTTCCCCAGAGCCTTCTGAGGAGGAGATGGCCACCTGCCAGCTGCTCAAATCCTGACCCACTTTTCCTGAGAACTCAGCAAGGGAGAGTTTCACAGACAAGAGGAAATCCCCAAACAGCGTGCAGCTCAGAGAATGGAAAGTTTTTCCTTTGGGGGGAGGGGGGTGTGGGTTTATTGTGCTTCCCCCCCCCTCCCACTTCCAACTTCCCAATGAATACATCTGGCAGCACACTGTCCCTGCTAGTGCGGGATCCCAGCGGAAAGCAGAGCTGGGAGGGCTCTTCCTGCCCGGGGAGGCTTCCCAGGAGTGTGAGGGATTTACAATCCCACCTCTCGCTCCCCATCCCCTGCAGAGTCGCCCTGAAGGCCATGTGCAGCGGAAAGCTGCAGACAGCTTTGCTGGTGGCCGGCTACTTTGTCTACCTGCTGGTGGGTGCTGCCGTGTTCCAGGCCCTGGAGAGGACTGCTGAGAAGCAGGAGAAAATGGCAGCTGCGCAGATGAAGGAGGCTTTTCTGCAGAACTTCACGCAGCTCACGGTGGCGGAGATGGAGCAGTTCATGAAGGTGAGTGGAAGTCCTTTCTCCCTCCTGTTTCCCCATCAGATGTTGTTCCCTACTCGTCCTCACTGCACAGGTAACTCTTACTGTTTTCCTTCTGATTGTGGTCACTTGGAGGCTTCCAGCAAACCCCTCTGTGGTGTGAGCAGGCAGCTCACTCTGATGGCAAATACAACTTATGCAGCCAGACGAAACCTTGTGTATGCTTGATATTAAAAATCCCCATCTCACAATATCCTTGGGGTTTTTTGGGTTTTGCCTCCTGTTGTTTCTTTTAGTGGGGCTGTGCTCTTACACAATAGGTGGCATGGCAAGAAAAATGAGGCTGTCTGAAATGAATAGGTGTGGCTGCCACTTGGAACAGCGTCACAGATAGCACAAAGGAACAATAAAGAAATGTCTGGATGGGGGAAATAAAAACCCAAACAGCTCTAAATAACTACAAGGAGGGTGGCATGATCAGAGTTTAGTTTTTGAGGATGCTGCAGAAGTGGAACAAGTAGCCTGGCCAGGGGAAAATATTTCTGGTCATGGCACAGGAAGATGAAGACGAATATGGCTGTCTCTTCAACTTGGGTATTTTAGAGTTCTATCTGCTATAATGCAGGAGAAAATGAGGAGTTAAAGCCTTGCTGGAAGCATTTGCACATGGACAACTAGCAGAGCTCTTAATGGTCCACTTCACACAATAAAGAAATGAGGGGAAGAACTGGTGTTTCTAATAGCAGAACCAGCAATTCAGCCCCTGTTTCACCCATGCATGCATCCTCTTCACCTTGTTTTTTATGGGTAGGAAAGAAGGTTAAAAAAAAAAAAAAAAAAAGAGAGCTTTTCAAGAAGGAAAGAAATAAAAAATAAGAGCTTCCAGATGTCCAGTCCAATGTTCTCTCTTTGCTAAAGACAGGGACAACTGGATATTATTTGCTTTTTAAATTTCCTTTTAACTTAAAAAAGAAAAGAAAAAAAAGAGGGTTAAAAAAAAATAACAGCACTTAGAATTAAAACCAAGGAAGAGTCTGAAACTTCCTAAAGTGGTAAATGATAGCACTGGAGAGGTGTGGAAGAAATATTTAGTCAATCCTTGTGTAGCAGGTCAGCCTCAACTCAACTGAAACCATCTCTAACAGATGTGCCCCTCTAACCTCCTCTCAAAGGCAATTTTGCAAACATCTGTGTAAATGTGCAAATTTATCTATGTGTATTCATGCATACAGTTTGGAGAAGAATGTGTATGTCAGGCTTTGGAAATCAGTGGACTTTCTCTGAATTTAATTCTGTGACATGAGTCAAAATACAGACTTGAAATTAAATTCTCGGTTTATCTCATGTGTACCCTGGTACAACTCACTGATGTGGGGAGGGATCAGAACTCACTGGGAGGGATCAGAGCCACTGCTCATACAGGTGGGTGATCAAATATTGGCTCCACCACTGCCATCTCAACTGCAAATCCAAATCAAAAACCAGCCACCTCCATCTCTTAAACCAGTGCTCTGCCACATCCTGGTCACACACACAGGATGGCGATTTTCCAATCTACTTGATGTGAAAGAAACGAGGTCCTTGGTCACACTGAAAGAAACAATTTCTCTCCAAACACCCACTAGAACAGTCAGCACAAACAGGGCAGAAGTTGAACACTCGAAACCACTGGATAATGGTTTTCCAGGCTTGGAGGTGAAGGTGTGAATAGTGTCATACAATCTCAGCAGTTGGCTAAATCTGTAATATTTTTGCAGCAAGGACTTGAGAAAAGCATCAGGATGATACCAAACTTTGCTTTTTCTCCCAGAACCTGATTGAAGCCATTCAGAATGGAGTATATCCTGTTGGAAACGAGTCACAGTTTGAAGAAAGCAACTGGGATTTTAGCAACTCCTTCTTCTTTGCAGGCACTGTTGTCTCCACAATAGGTAGGTCTAATGCTTTCCATTTGTGTGTGCCTGTGTGTCAGTGATGCTTATTATGTCTGGTTATTAGGAAACGAATGGAAAATACTTTCCAGGATAAAAACTCCAGCTCTTTGTTGTCATGGGTGGCTTAGTCTTAGTCCTAAGACCTTCCCACTGCACATCTCTTGATGCTTTATTTTGGCTTGTCAAATATCAGTGGCCTTTCATATTATTTCCCACTTGTTCTTTTTTCAAATCATCTGTTATAATTTTCACTCTGCGATATTTGTGGGTGGGAGATAAACTTCACTTTCCTGGTTTATTCCAGGCTTTAAATCTGAGAGTGCTGTAAAACATTAAAATTGAAAGGAAAGAAGTGAATCCTGCTGGGGCCTGGGCACTGTTTCCATAACCTGTTTTGAGCTGTTAATTCACATATACAATTAGTAATGTGCCAGGAGGAAAAAAAATGGGAAGGGGTAAAGGCAAATCCTCAGAATTTTATGCTGCTGCTTCAAGCTGTTCTGATCTTTACAGGGCCTGCCTACCCCTACAGGCTTCGTCCTTTCTTTCAAATGCACATCCCAAAAAATGCAGGCCTGCCAGACTTAGGGATAAAACCCATACTGTTGGCACCTGCTTCACAGTCACAGTGGAAGTCAAATCTGTGTTTTTACAGAGTGGTGCTGAGGCCTCACTCCTCCCAGACCAGACCCTAAGCGCATCTGATCTGTGAGTGTCACATGTCCCAAAGGCCCCAGCAGTGCCCCAGCATCATGGGAGCTGTGTAAGTGCTGCCTGAGCCCACAGGGAGATCTCCTCCTGTGGAAGGGGAGGGTTCTGACCCTCATCATTTAAATTGGAATAATCGTTGAAATTGGAATATTTCTGCAACAGGGAGCACAAGACAGCTCATGCATTTGGGAATCTAGTAGCCCAAAAATCACTCAGTTGTTTTGTGTTTTTCCCCAAAGAAAACATTGCATTTTCCAAGGCATGGATGCCTTGACATGAGCTGTGCATGGGAAATGCAGTTTCCCAGGGTCACTGATAGCATAAGGACATACACAAAATTCAGTATTCTTGCACTCAGGGATGGACCTCATGGGGTCCAAGAGTCTTGAGACTTAGGGACATGTTTGGGGTTGTTCCACTACTTAGTAGGACCTTAAGGCAAATGTCTCTCTGGTATGAATAAATCAGCCACCAGCAAGGTCTGGACTAATTAGCACCATCTATTCTAATGCACACTGCACTGCCTTGGGACTGGAGTCAGTATCTGGACACAGCAACTCGCTGGGATGTAGCCAGGGAGGTCACTAACACAGGCAGATCAACAAGAAGCTGGAGATGGCTGCATGGGATCCTGACAGCCTGGGACTCCAGCTCTGATGTCTTCCAGATCCTCTGACTTCTATTTTCTGACTTTCCATGTATTTGTCACAGGACAGAGCATGTTTCCCATAATTACTTCTTGATTGTGTTTTTGTTCCCGCTAAGGCTGTGCTGGGAACACACAGTGCTTCTGCATTCCCTAAGACATGCAGGGTGAGCCACTTCATCTGCTTACTGCCTTTTTCAGAGGAAAAAATCGTGCATTTGGGCTGAGAAACACTAGCCACACCTTTTAGGGTCAAAGGCAGGCTGGATTGGAGTAAGGGTGAATATGACTGTGAATTGCTGCAGTTCTTTGGAGTATCTCCTCTGACCCATCTTTCTTTTATAGGCTATGGCACATTACATCCTAAAACTGCTGGGGGACAGATCTTTTGTGTGTTTTTTGCTCTTTTTGGAATCCCTCTGAACATTGTTTTTCTGCACCGTGTTGGTAAGATGCTCTCACTGCTCTGTAAAAAGCTGGGGAAATTCCTCTACGAGAAAGGAATGAGAAAGGTAATTGGTTTTACCTACTCAGGCACAATTATTTGCTCATTTATAGTGTTCTTCTCAACTTCTATGCTGCCTTATCCTCGATTGTATTTGCTCTTGTGCTGGGTTAGATGTTGTTCTAGGGCAGGAAAAGAGACATTCTTCACTTGCAGAGCTAAGCAGACATGTCTGCCATAGGGGAGATATTCACACAAAGGGATGCATTTTGTCTTCCCACCTAGATGGCAGAAATCCAGCCCCCTTCAGCAATCAGTGGAGAAATTGGGCATCCCACCCCACTTTTTGAGACACTTATCTCAGGAGCCAACACCCTAGGGAAGTGCATGCATCCCTTGAAAATCAGTAAGGGTGATTAGGCGTCACCTTGAGGCAGCAAAAAGCAGGTGAGCTGTGCAAAGCTGTAAAAATTGGGTGAGGTGTAGAGGTTTAAATGGATTTTAACTCAATGCATAGTGTGTTACCCCTCCTAACTGATTACCCAGTCCTTTAGTCTCCCCTCACCCTTAACCGTGAAAGGAAGCATCAGGATGAAGTTGTCCATTTCAGCCTGGTTGCTGAAAGATGAGGAGACACCTGTAACAACCTCCAGATAGGATGTCTTTTGTCTGGTTTATACCCCAATTTATTTTCAGCTCCTCTCCTTCTCTCAGCACTGCTGAGGAAGTGAGAATAGCTTTTCTGTGTCTCCTACTGTAATTCTCTTTCAGGACAAGGTATGATTTCTACATATAACCCTGTTCAGATTGCTGAATTTCTTGTCATATATGGCAAACTTCAACAGCAGATAAGGCTCAATCAGATACAGACTCAAGCATATACACAATACATGAAGACAAATTATCCACCAGTTGCCATTAATTTCCAGGCAATCTGGGTTTAGAAAATTCTGTACATAGAAACTATGTGTGTCTGGCTGATAAATTTCTACATATAACAAGTCTTCTTCTTTAGTCAAAGCTCCTTCATGACTGCTGGGAAGTAGAATGATTTAAAAATGTTACTGTCCAGGCTCTTCTTTATCAAGAGCTCATTAGTTAATTTTTTTTTTTTTTTTTTTTTTTTTTTTTTTTTTTTTTTTTTTTTTGTAGTGACATATACACTGGTTAGGAGCCAAGTTGTGGCATTGATGGAATGAGAAATAAAGTCAATAATCAAGACTCTTGAAGATAGTACTGTCAGAAATTGTGCAATTATTTTTTATAAAAAAGACTATTTTCCCAGGCAAATCTGAATTTAGGTGCCAACCCTAAATAACTAAAAATTAAAAATGAAGTTGTATGGTCATAAGTGGAAATGGTTTGACTCTGGTAAATGTCATTAGATAGGAATTCCTCCAGTAGTCACAGTCATTGATACAATCAGGTAAAAGACTACACCTTCCAAGGCCACTGTAGACATGCAACACCCATAACACCTGGCTTCCCCCTGCTTCTAAGCAAGACTAAGATATTTCCTCAGGAAAGCACTCAGTAGAAATCCTTCAGATCCTCCTGATCCCAGATAGCCACCCACGCTGAATAACTACCATTATAAATAGCTTATTTGTGTTTCAAATCATGATTATAATTGAGCTGGTTTATTTTTCAGAAGAACATCAAATTTCTGACCCTTTTGTTCTTCCTGGCAACGGGGATCCTGGTTTTTCTGTGCTTGCCATCAGTCTTCTTCCAGATAACAGAGGGCTGGTCCTACAGTGAAGGAATTTACTTTGCATTTATCACCCTCAGCACCATTGGCTTTGGAGATTATGTTGTAGGTAAGGTTAATTCCAGAGAAGAAACACGTCAAAACAGCAGGATAATGACTGTAATTACCATGGGTTGACTGAATCTACTGTAGAGACAATCTGTTAAAAGTCTTTGCATAGTCTTTGCCCTGTGCAGTTCTGGGGGGAAATACTTCTCTGGGGTTGTATGTGCTGATAAAAGCACAAAGTCATCAAAATATAAGGAAATGAGATGCTTTGGGATGCAAAGAAAACAATATTTTGGTGAGGGAAGGGAAAGTGGGATTATTATCAAGAGGGAGCAGTTTATGACAGCTGTACAAAAGAAGGTTCTTATCACTGCTGTAGCCATCTCAAAGTTATGCTTCCCAGTGTAAAGTGAAGAAATAAGTGATCATGTTTCAGACTATATGACTTCACACAACAGACTCAGAGGTGGAAATCCCAGTCATGGGAAACTGGGGAAATCTCACACTATTAGAAGTGGGGCTTAAATATATACATCACTGCAAAAGTGGCCTTTAGTCTCCTGAGTATCTCTGGAGGTTTTCTATCCTCACAAGCCAGAGCTTAGGATCTCCCCTGAAGAAACACTCTTTAAACTGCACTCAGGCATGCTGGAATTCTTCTCAAAACATTTCAGTGGATCTGCTGGACAAAATACACTCTTCACGGAATAAGTTTCCAAAGGAGCTGCAAAATAATTACCAGGAGCAAAATCAGTGTCCAGAGAAGAAGCAGAAAACTGGACTCCATGGAGAATCCAAGAGTTCTCTACAACAACCTGTCCTGTCATCATCTTTCCAGCCTGAACTTCTCCTCAGCAGGGATATGCAAAAAAATCTGTAGCTAATACTTGCACCAGTGCTGTCCCCACAGAGGGTCTGGAAGCATCCCACACCTTTCTGAGGCACAGGCATGTACCACACTACAAACCCTAGGCTCTCAAGCCTTGCAGAAGTGCTAGACAGGCCTTGGAGCCTCTCTGTGAGTTGGAAGGATTTCTTACATAATGCTGATGATATCTTTGGCAGAGGGAGCCCACAAACTTTTCCAGGCACTGGTGTGTCACTGCTGAGCATAATTTCTCTAAATGTATTCCTTGAAATAGTCTGTTGTACAGAATGGTGGGGAGGGGCTGGTGTCACGCAGGAGAAAAACTGAGCATCAAAATGTTGCATTGTGTTTCCTTGTCCAAATCATAGGTGTGTTTTAAAATAATGACAGCAAGTCGCAGCCTGAAAACCATGACTTCCATAGCACTTTCCTCCTCTGCAGCCATGTTGCTTTACAAGTGCAATTAATTGTGTTCTAACTTTCTAATTGTTATTTAAAAATATCAATTAGCTAGGCCTCATGGCTCTATGATTTCATCTTCATTAGGATGACTTAACTGGAGCTGAAATATTTTTCTGTGCCAGTATTTATCTTAATTGGCCTTAACAACAGTGATAAAAAATGTTGGTAAGTTTAATGCTTCACATCTTCACAATGAAACGAGCAGAATCAATGACTGCTCTGAGAATTATGCACTGAGAATTGCTTACAGATGATAAATGGTTTTGTACTGGCCAAGTGGAACAGAACAGGTTTGAGTTGATTTGCATTTTAGTAATTCAAAACTTTTTGAATTACTAAACTTACTATTTTTTTTTAATTACTAATTTTTGAATTACTTTTTGAATTACTAAAGCTGTTTTGTAGCTGAGCCTGTTTGGGGCAGGGAGACATACTGGGAAGGTGGCTCAGTTTGGGTTTAACTGTTGGGAATACAGGTACATACAGGTGATACCTCTAGGGTGAAACTCCCTGGGGTTGTTAACTGAATATTCCCTGCTCAAGTCCAGTTTTGGGCTAACAATACAAAGATATTATTTGTGGCTTTGCTAACCCCACATCATGAACTCCAGATAAGAGCACAACAAGGAGATGCTTTGTACCAAGGCTGAGAATCCTTCTTTGCCAACTCACTGGCCAGCAGCAGAAAAAGAAATGCGTGAGGACACACCTGCCCACTGCTGCCCCATTTCCAGAGCTCCTGGATAACAAAGAACAAAAATCTTGCACTTTAATCTATGCACTACAGAGGACTGCAGGATTTGAACAGAGTTGCCAGCACCTGGCTTCCTTCTGGGCAGGTTCACCACGAGGTTTGTTGTGATCTCCCTGTCCATGCACACTGCTGTGTTTTCCACTCTGTCAAGTCATTGGCAGTGACTTGGAGCATTCCAAATATTGCCAAATATTCCTGCAGATGCCAGGGCCACATCACCTGTACCACGATGATAATATTGTGTGGGGCCAAGGGAATATCTCTGTGCAGTGGGACTGGGTGGCTGACACCTGAAGGATCAAACAAAATGACCCATGCAGAACAGCAGGTGTGAGGTCCTGGCTGATGCTAAGAGGATCAGATTGCATTAAATAAGATTTAGTCCACTGGTTTCCAACAAAGAAATTTCAGCTCTTGGCACATGTCAGTATATTCTCATCAGTCATGTAGTTTTTTGTATGGAGGAAGCTCCTGAAACCGTTCAAAAGTGAGGTAGGAATTGCAGTTACTCTCTTTGTGAGATCACAGGTACCTGTAATTTAAAGGAAATATTTATTAGGTTCTAATTACACTCTATAGAAATACAGGGAATTACAATTACCCAGATAATAATGGTTGTGTGGTTTTAGTGGCCCACTGTGCTCTGCTTTTTGTGCTTTGGGAGTTTGGGTGCAATTCCAAGATAATACAATACAATTTAACACTACATCCCACATTATTTCATTTACCTGTACGTGCAGCAGTTGAACTGGGATTGATACGCAGTGAGGGGGAAAAAATAACCTGCTCTGATGGTAATTTACCTCAATCACAGAATCATAAAATCACAGAATGATTCACTTCAATTCCAGTGTGCCATTTGACAGGCCAGCATATTTGTATCATGTTTATTGCATGTATCAGTTCATTACAACAATAAGAGAATTGCTCAGCCTTAACCTAATGCTATAGAGCTGAGAGTCTCTATTACAGCAAAAAAAAAATCACTTTAAAGTACTCAATATAAAACATACTGATGAATTCATTAGGCTGTTCCACGTTACACTGGCAAGGCAATTTTAACTTTTTAATTTTCCTTCTTTCTCCCCCCTTATCTTCAGGCAAACAGTCTGACAGGAAATACTTTTCCTACTATCGAGTGCTTGTGGCCATTTGGATTCTTTTTGGCCTTGCCTGGATTGCTCTGCTGTTTAATTTATTGACAACAGTACTAGAAGATACTGAAAAAATAATTGTCAAGGATCTCCAGCAAATTGGAAAGGTGAGTAAGGACAATGTAGGAAGCCAGCAAAGAAGATGCTGGCCTGTTCAATTTATTCCAGAAGAAGAACCACTACCATCACATGCTGGAGGGGATGCAATGAAAATGGAATCATTAACAGCAGATTCTGAACACACAAAAAATGAAAAAAAATGTTTTCTAATAACAAAGCTATTGGCATAACGTGTTGAGAATTGAATTCTTCATTGGAGAATTGCTAGTTAATTAGTCTAAAGAAATTCCCATAGAAATAAAATTTCTCCTACCTTCTGCTGAGATATGACCTTTTAGAACTCAAGACTTACAGTTACACAAAGCCTGGATATTAATGGTAAGAAATTTGCTCCTCAGTTTGCAGCTAGGTTGTGCTTACAGCCTGAGAACTTGCTCTGCAAGGTGTTTTTAAGGTGCTTTCACAAAAATGCAGAGGAAGGGCATGGAAGAGCTTGCTGGTTCTGTTTGGATTTTGCAGCTTGCAAGAAATCATGTCTCTTCCAGGAACTGACATGCACAAGCTTTTCTGGCATTGCATAGCACTTTTGGAAGAAGAAATGAGGGTATATAACTTAATAGATGCCTGACTTGAGCCATCATATTGGATAAGGTGGTGTGGTCTGAAAGACATGTTTAAATGACAAGACCTGAGCTCAGTTCAGAGACACTAGAAGCATCTCATGGACAGGGATATGAAAAGGTTAGCATGTTAGAAATGATTGATTCTACCTCTTCCTCTTTTATACTAAGATGAATAAAGGCAATTTCAGCTTTTATCCCTGTGGCTCTGAAAAACCTTTCTGATGGTGTTTATAAAAAATGCATCAACCCATGTTTTTAATTCAATTTTTATAGTAAATTTATTCTGCAAGTTTTTCATAAGAACAGAGACCAATTTGAAGGGAGGAATCCTTGCTGCTATGTTTTGATTTCATAGGAACTATGAAGCCATTTAGCAATGCTTCTGTGGTGCTGTTGCTTTCCAAGGGTGAGCGGTGTCTAAACCTTCAACCAGGTGAAAAATAACGGATGTCAGATCTGGGCATGGTTTTTCAGACATGCTGTCTGCCTGCAGGCCACTTCTGGGTGAAGACTATGACTTTCAGAGGGTTGATCTATGTGTCACAAGCCTTCTGTATGCCAAAAATGCATGAAAACCCAACCCTGAAGAGCTGGCAAAGCAGCTGGGGTAGACACAGTCACAGAGGTGAAACATCCCATGTGTGTTTAAGGTCACACCAGAAGTCAGTCCAGCCCAACACCTTCCCTGACCATGCCTAATGTGTCCCCCAGCAGTGCAAAGAGCAGGCAGCTCTGCCATGCCCCAGCACAGGGGCCAAACCCTCTGCCAGCAGTTGGTGGCACAAGGCTGCCCATGCAGGAGATGGGGTCTGTACATCAAAACCCATGAACTTGTCCAAATGCTGAACTCACATCAGCACCCACAGGACCCCCCAAGGCAGTCTGGAGCTTTTTTTCTGCACCAAGTCCCTCACTCTGACAGTGCTGAACCTGTCACTTGGCAGTTTACTGTCAGCCCCTCAAGCTCCTCTTTTGTCAGACTGAATAATTGTTTTTTGCTCACCCTCTGGGTGCTATTTACAGCATGACCAGCCCATGCCAGAGTTATTCCTGTATGAAAGGCAGAATAAATTACAGCTATAAAGCAATTTCAGGTCATAAAGATGCAGTCAGCCTTGAAGCTGGATTCATAAATATCTCAGTCAAAGAGAACCATGCTTCTTGCCAAAGCAATTCTGCTGGTTCAAGACCTGGCATGTAGACCTGGCCAAACATGTACTTTCTTTCTCTCAAGAAATTACCTTCCAGTGTTACTCTCAAGGCTGACTTCTCACCTCATATGTCTCACTGTCAGTAAATGTTTCTGAGGGAGCAGGAGCAGAACCTGACTGAAATCAAGGAAGGGTAGCAGGGGTATTGTAGGACACAGAGGTCCTTGTACAAGCCAGAATCCTATTGCTGCCACAAGACAGGCAGAGAAAGCAGCTGGATGCTCCCAGGCAGGGATCTCTTCACCTCTCTGTTTTCCCCTCTCACTGAGCATTAACTCACGTTGTTATTTTCCAGGCATCAGTCTATTCTCTTTTCTTTTTTCCCCAGCCCTTCCTAGAGGGATCATTAACCCCACTCCCAGTCGAATGTAGAGATTGTCAAGGCTGGTTTAGGGGTTATGATGCTCCTGCCTTGGGGTGAAATAGTCATTTTTCACAGCCTCTCATTATTCCTTTCATGCCAGTTCCTGGTGTCTGGAATGGAGAGTTTCTTCAGTTTCTTCCCACTGCTCCCTGTTGTGACAAATAACACAACTCAGCCCTGGAACGGGCTGCAGGTGTCGCATTGTAACACAGAGTAACCAAAGGTGCTTTTTTTAGACATTTCAGGAAGGGCAAGAGAGACATCCCATGGCCCCTGACTGTAAACAGCAAGCACAGAGCCAGGCAGTGGCTCTTGGAGCAAAATAGGGCAAAAAATTCTTGTTCCTTTGCCTTAGTGGGTGTTGTACAATGAGCCTTGAAACCCAAGCACTTCCCACTTCAGGAGTCCATCTGTCCTGTGTAGTTATTGCCATAGGGTGCAGGGATTTTAACTCATTCCTCCTGCCGTGCTCCAGGGGAAAGATGTGGCCCAGAGGGACTGAAAAAGCCACCCAAGGCCAGAGGATGCAGGAAAGCAGGAAACATTAGCCAGGAATGGCCATCGTGGGGCTGGCCACCTTCAGGCAGCAAGAACTGAGGCTGAGGTGTTCCTTCAGCTGTAAATGCCAGCCTGGGAGCACAGAAAACACATTAAAAAAAAAAAAAAAAAAAATTCAAATATATAAAAATAAAACCTCTCTGGAGAAGCTCAGCTGCTGTGAGAAAGAAGGCTGCCCATTCATAAATCCTTACCCTGCAGAAGTCTTTTGAAGAAGGGTTTTAGCTTTGCTCCTTGTGCCCTCCAGTGGCTGTGTGCTGCAGACCCTGTCCCTTCACATCCCTGCCAGCTTTGGGTGGCTTTTCTCCACCTCCGTTTGGTCAGTGGGAACCAGAGGACGATGCCCTTTATTTGTATCCAATTCACACGAGTTTGCCAAAGGCTAAAAAATGCCCCATTCTCCAGAAAGAGATGGGGATGAGCACCTCAGACTGATGCAGCCGTGGTCCCTGCCTTATGCCCACGTGTGGACAGCTCTGTGGTGATGTGATGATGTGATGTGATGCCTTTCTGCCAGCAAACCATCACGAGAAGGATCCTCACCATCAGCACACATGGTACCCAAGGTGGGGAGCACTCCCATCATGTGCTCCATGCAAAAACTTCCCATGCACATAGTCTGCTTCAGGGTCAAGGCTCACATTCCCACCCCCTGGCCCACAAGGGAAAAGGATTGGTCTGGGAAAAAATGTGCCAAAAGGCAAGTTTGGGTGCAGGATCTGGGGCTTGGAGGGGCTGGCTCCCTCTGCAGCAGCCTGGAGGGCAGGGAGTTCCTTTCCTCATGCAGCAGCAGGGGTGGAGATAGGAGCTGCAGATATATGGAAGGAGGAACCAGCACCAAAGGGTGTGTGGTCCTCTCTGCTGGGAAAGTCAAGGGGAAAGGCTGAGAAAGCTGCAAGCCAGGGTGGGAGAATAACTTTTTTGGATGTGATATTGTTCCTTGTTCTTAAACTGGATGATAAATCTGTCTCCAGAAGGGCTTAGGCACAGTGACAAATTTCTCCAGGGCTGGAGCAAGCAGCTTTTTCCAGCATTATCATCCTCAGAGCATTGCACAACAGCAGCAGAAATTGTCCTCACATCACCTCTGAAAGGTGGAATTGTTGATTCCTGTGCAGGTAACAAGGCCCCGGAGAAAATTCATGCATCAGACCTCTGGCTCTCTCAGGCAGGACCAGGTGTCCTGGTATTGCTTACTGATAAACTAGACCCAGACAGTGGTTCTGAACTTGTGGAGGTTGAAAAAAAATAGACTTGAATTGAGAGCAGAATTAGAGCAGAGATTCTACTTCACATCTGGAGATTTAAAATAATCCCAAGATTTTTACTTCATTAGTATAAACCAGTCTTTGCTGTCCTTCTGCACGTTCTCCTTGCCCAAGGGACAGAAACCAGGAATAAATCCATTCCAAAATCCCTGTTCTGCCAAGTGATGGAGTGACAGAAATCCTCTGGGGACCAAGCAGAAGGGTTCTCCACTGGCAGATCTGCACAGCCTGCAGCCTTTTCTGGGAGTTGCTCAAAGCTCTCCCTGTGACCCATTCCCACTGTGCCACACAGGGGAATCCAATTTTCACAGAGCAGCCTCCTGTGCAACTGCCAGCTCTCCCACTGCAGCTTGTTTTCAAATGGGAAACATTTCCAAGGCAAGCCAAATACTTTCCAATACATTAAACCAGTTGTTGAAAAACTCCAGGAGTAGGATTGTGAAATATATTATCTGGGATGAAATGGCAGCAGCATGTTCCTGCATTCATTCTGTGCTGCTCCTCATACATCACCCACATCTTTGCTGCCAGCTAGGAAACAGTGTGCACTTCTGCACTTGAAACCAAGGAAAAGCCATGAGGAATTATTTTTCCCCTCAGAAATTCAATTGCCTCCAGAGAGAACAGGAGGAACTACACTTTGATCTGTCTTTAATTAGTATAGGGGTTGTTAGGGATTGTTTGAGGTCTCCCTCAATTAATAGTCAGTTCATTTGGAGAGATTATTTTTTTTTTTTCTGGAAGCAGAGGCATTACTCAAAACAGTGGAACACCTTGGCTAATGTAACATCACACAGCCAGTGGGATTTTTTTTTTTACAACAATTGCTAAGCATGGGCCACACACATGATGTTTTCCACTCTGTCACACTTGGACTTGTGCTTTCTTGCCTGACTCATGACCAAAAGGCTGGATCCAGCTCAGAACGGGTTTCACAAACATAACTAATCACTCTACAAAGGCTTGCTTGTAATCCATCCCTCATGATAACACCCAAAGAAACAAAAAACCCCCAGGTTTTGGTGCCAGCCAAGTCCCTCATACCATTCCAGTAGGATTTAAAGTGGTGTTGAACGTAGATTTGACACCAGATCTCACACTGTGAGGAAAGGGGATCCTTTGGCATCCCTCACATGGATGTCTGAGTTCCAGCCTGGGCAACACTGACTTTACTGCACTACAAGTAAAGTCAACATCTAGTCCTTCTGGGGCTAAAAATTTTGGGAGAAGTAAAAATGCTGCCCCCAGAGAGCCTTGTCCATGCTCTTGCATCCCTGCAGCCAGTCTCACCTCCAACCCAGAAAGGGAATTCAAATCTGCATAGAAAATTCAGCATTTACTATCATAAGTCGTTCTGGACTCAATTAGGGTAATACTCAACCATGGGTTTGGAAAGACTCATTATGCTGAGTTAAAATTAGGGCAATTATTGAATCCATTTGATTACCAGCTTGACATGATTTAGGAGATGTGTCTCTTGAATAAACACTTTTCAAATTTCTCTTTCAATTATTCTTACATTTGTGGTTGGAAACTACATATGTACTTTGTGGTGAGATGCTGAAGCATGAAATAATACATCCCCAGAAAGAGAGATACCCTGATAAGCAGAACAATAATAATAACAAGCATGAATCATTGAAAAATGAAGGGAGGTACAATTTACAATTTAAGCTGATGGTTTCCTTGAGAGGGATTAGCCAGAAAGATGCTAATGTTCTCAAAGAACAAATGTGGTTTGAGATGAATCCAGCTTCTCAAAGTAAAAGATGACTGTTCATCTTTTGGCATGGAGAAAATCCTGTATCAAGACCAGAAAAGAGCATAAGTCAGAATTTGTGCTGAAAGTCCCCCAGCAATCACTGTTCCCTTCATTTAAATGATTCACCGAATGCTTTAAGAGCAAGGACAAGGTCTTAAATTTAAAATTGTTTTGGAGATTTACTGGAAACTAAGGATGAGACCTAAGCAGGTTTCATCTGTCTAGTCTCAGCTTCAAAAGTCCAGGCATTAATCTCAAAATAAAATATGCACTGCCTGAGAATTAGAAAAATGCAAGCCCAGCATGAGCACCTTCCAGTTGCTGGAAACCAATTCTCCCCATCCAAGCAGTCTGCCTCTTCACAAAGCATGCAGGAGCTGTTTAGCATCTCTGTTGTGCAAGTCTGTCACAAATCAGTGCTGGGGTTGGGGTCTGTGTATTACCCCAAATTAGATATAAATCAATTAGAGGTCAGTGCAGAACTTCAGCCAGTTTCCCAATTAAAAATCCAACACGTAAAATTTTTTTTTTGTATTTTTTTCCTTTCTTCATTTCTTTCCTGATTTTTTTCTTCCTTACAGCCTTCAAGTTGGTGATGGGATGAAGGATGGATGCAGCAGAGCTCGCTACAGTCCCAGAAATGCATGGGCAGCTCCTGGAGAACATGGCCCAGCAACAAGGCCTACAAAGTGCTTAAAGGCTGAATGTCATGACAATAGTGGTAGCACAGTTGGGTGATGCCAAATAGCCAAAAATTGCCAGGGGGAAGCAAAAAAGAGGAATTTCCAGCAATGGTTGTGAAAGTCTATTCCTTGCTTGCAGCAGGTCTCTGAGTGAAAGCCTGAATACAAACTGCCCACACTTTTTGCTCAAACATGAGCCATTCCTTGAGCTGGGGTTTGGTAACAACACTTCCCAGTCATCATCTCACAGCTTTCTGCAGGGGCTCAGCCTGCCTTTGCAAACCAACCAGTGAAGGTGGAAAAAAGTCCTCTAGGGGTGTCAAGGGAGAAGCAAAATTTTTGGTGCATGAAATTTGCATACTGGCATTTGTAGTAGTGAACAGTACTCAGTGATACCAGAGTGGGAAGGGCTTTGGTGTGGCAGCCAGGGTGCCTTCCAGCTGCTCTTCTGGGAAGTTAAAACATGACAGGAACTTTCCAGAGACACCCCTGCTTTGGTACATGGTTTTCTCAGTGAGTATGGTTCAAGGACAAAACCAGAGAATGGCAAACTCATGCTCAAACCCCCAAAGCCCACACTTACTTCACACATGCCAAAAAGCAGAGCAGTGAGTTACAGAAATGAGAAATGTTGTCACTCCCCCACCAAGGCCATCTGTCTTACGTGGTGACAGCAGGGTGAGGAGAGGTGGCATAAAGAAGGACAGGCAGAGCACTGTGGGATTATGGATAGTGGCTGATTTTTGGGATCAGCCTACATGATAGGTAAACCCCCTTTATGCACAGGTGTCCATCAGCTGAGACAAAAAGTGCATTGTGGTCAAAGAAGGGCTTTTTACAAAGACATTGAGGGACAGGACAAGGGGAAATGGCCTTCAAACTGACAGAGAGCAGGGTTAGGTTAGATATTAGAAAGAAATTCTTCCCTGCTATGGTACTGAGGTCCTGGCACAGTTGCCCAGAGGAGCTCTGAGTGCCATATTCCTGCCCTTTTCCAGGTCAGGCTGGATGGATGGGGCTTGGAGCAACCTGGCCAAGTGGGTGCCCCTGCCCATGGCAGGGGTTTGGAACAAGTTGGTCTTTTAGGTCCTTCCCAATCCAGATAATTCCGTGTTTCTTGTGTTCTGTAAAGTCACTGTGCACACACACGACAGAGCCTCCAGATGTCACCATCAACCCAAGCAAGAAAGAGGCACAGTTTACAAGCCGAGCAGAAAAACCCCACTCACAGACTTCTCCTTTATTCCTGCTCCCCTGCCTGGGACAGACAGACTGGAGGGTTTCCAGTCCACCTGGATAAAGTGCTGGAATCATAGACAAAATCAACGAGTGTGGTTTATAGCTGTGCATGAAAGCATTTTGTGTGCACATTACACTGATGTAGACCATATAGTGCTTCCCTGTGTGTAGGTGCTTGTTATTTTTACATATATATAATATAAAATCACCTATGTGTATATATACATATGTATATAAAGTTACATATATAACTGCATAACTATTGGTCTGAAGAATCACAGGTTCTTTGCCGACAACTTTACCTGAAGGTAAAAGCAAGGCGTGTTCCCCAGTGCCTTTTCTAACCATATACATATTCATCTCTTGCAGTACACATTCCTGTGTCCCATCCAGCTGATGAGCTGAGAAATGGAGCAATCAGCCCTGTATAAAGGATCTGAGAGCACAGGCACAGGTGTTCCCAGAGAAAGAAGGCAATATGCCCTCAAGTCTGTGTAATAAGGTCAGTGTTGACTTTTCAAGGAATTGGTTGTGTCTCCTCTATTTCCCTTGGCTTGTTAAGTTCATTTTATGGCTCTCTTTCAGCAATCTAAATTTGCCTGTTAGGAGAAAACAAAAAGGCTTAAAAAATCCCAACTTTGCCCCTTCTTCCCTTGAACTCTGCCCTCTCCTTACTGCCTACAAGATTAAGTGCATTCAACATTTATGGAGAAGAAAAAGGCCCTCAGCTCTGCTCAAAGCTGGCATTTACATTGTCCCTGATGCAGAATAAAGTCAATAGCAGAGCCAAGCATTGAGGCAGCAGAGGTGGGGGACCCAAGGGCCACTGCTGGTCACCCTTCCAGAGCTGCAGAGGGGTGTGCAGGGTGGCAGAGCACCCTCCAGCCTAACCTTGTACCTGCAGAAAACTGGAGGGATATTCAGGGGCTGTTTGTTTGAACACACCCTTCCCCCTGGACGCCACATTAAAAAAAAAAATATTACTGAAGGAAATGCCAGATTGGGTTGGGGAATGCTTGTAGGGTATAAAGGTGTTGTTTTTACATGAAAAGACCCTCAGGGTTCTCCTGCATCAAAGTTTTCATCCTCACCAAGTGTGAGCAGGGCCTGGAGGGATGGTGACATGGAAGATTAATGGATCTCTCCCAGCCATAGGCTGTCAGTTAAGTCAAGCACTGCTAATGCAGGATGCTGTCCCGAGACCTCTGTTAGCCCAATGACAAAGCTTTTTTAAAGTCCTCTGTGTAAAAGGCATAATCCTTGTATGCCAATGGATCATATCCTCGAGATCCCTAGGGAGCAAGGCAAATGTGGAAAGAAAGGGAAAGGAAATCCCTTATTTCATAATGGTGCAAACAGACATGTCAGGAGAATTACATCAATATGCAGCACATGTGAAATTTAATACTCCTCCTAATGCATTTAGATGAGGCAAAACGTAAAGTCTGTACTGCCCCTGGGAATAATTCTGGTAGGAAGCTTTCACCACTAGGAACCAAGGTCTTTCTACTTACTCTGGAATTTGAGCCTTTGTTTTCAAAGCCTTCCTGAGAGACTTCAAAATCAAGTTTGTTACGTGTATGTTACTCTTTGAAGATCTGTCTTCCAGAATGAAAACACCAGTGCTCTTCCCAGCCATGCTGGTGTAAATAAAGAGCAGCACGGCTGAAAATCAGTCAAATATTCAATATAAGGGCCCATCCAACCTGCAAAAGAGGAGAGGCTTTGACCTGCAGAAAACCAAGATAAATAAACACAACAGAGCCCTTATCCTTTGCCTGATATCAGCTGGCATTGCTGCAAGAGTCCACCAGACCTGCATGGATTTCCACCAGCTTTGACTGTGGAAAAGCTCTCAAAGGCTTTTAAACACAATATTTGATTTGGAGTCCTTGCAGACAGGAGGAGCCTGAAATCTTCTTGCTGGTTTCCCTCCCTTTTATCAAACCATGGATATGGAATTCAGCAAAGGATACAGCTCAGATGTGGCTTGAATTCAGACAAGTGACTTGAAGTGATGATTTCCCCCCTACCAGGCTGCAGATGATCGATGTATTATGCATGAAAATAGTGCCAGGCACAGATGGGGTGGGAGTAGAAGGTGTGAGTTGATAATGACAGCAGCCAAGTTCTGCTAGAAAAGACTCTACAATACACTTGCATGTAGGGCAGAAAAAAGATGCAACATGCATGCGAAGCTAGCCATGGTTTAAAGGGTCAAACAGATTAATTACAGTCAAACCTGAGATTTATGCAAAGATTTGAGTGGCATGGTTGCCAGAGGAACAGGGGATTAGCCTTGATGATGCAAGGAATCATCTTCCAATCTTGTGTTCTTGAATAACCATTAGGGAGCTGAGTAAAACGCGTTTTTTGGGGTTTAAAAGCTGAAGACAGGGAATCCAAAGGGGTGACATAGTACTGCATCAGATATTGCCTTCAGCAGGATCCTGGCTCGTGCTCAGCACAATGCTGAGAACTTGGCACCAGGACCAAAGCTGAGACAAACAGGAATTTCTTCATGGACATTTCTAGGGTTTGAATCCAAGCCAGTCAAGACCAGCATGCAAGGCCTAATCCCGTAAAAACAGTCAATGTTTGGATGGGAAACATGTCACTGAGTTGGAGCCAGGTGGGTGCAGACTTCTGTGGGAGGATGAGTCAAGAGAGCTCTGGCATCATCTGCAAAAGAACCTGATGCCGTGGAAGAGAGCCTAGCAAGTGTAAAAACCCATGAGGAAGCAGTGATGGTCCAAAGAAAAGCCCACAATTTCCCTGGTTGCCCTTGGAGCATCCTGGAGATCACTGCAAGACCAGGTATTTGAAATAAGCTGTTTTTCTTCTACCTCTGAGCCGTGAGACAGGGATAGTCTGTTCCTCACACAGCTTCTCTGAAGAAACTCCAGCCTTGAGCACAGAACTGACAGCTGGCAAGATGCCATTGGCTTTGCCAAATCTGACCACAGCTGGTCCCTGATGCAATAAAATGTTGAATCACCAGAATCTGAGAATGTGATTGTCTGGAGGGTCACCAAGAAAAATCAGTAAAGACTTGTTGGCAACTTGCAATGCATTTGCCAGTTCCAGGCTCTGTGGAAACCTGAACCTGGCAAATTTCCTCCAAGCTGGGCTCAGATGCTCCAATGTGCCAGGGGAGAAAATAATTTCTGATAATGCTGCCCAACTTAAGCTTGCAAAGAAACCTCAGGTCAAGGAATAAGGGTTTGTCTCACAAAATCCCCACGCCCCAAGAGGTTGCAACCCACTCACCAAAAACCAAGAGCAAATGTGTGATAGAAAGGATGCATTGGGATAGTGGAGTAGCTCAGCATCCATGGTGGTTCATGAGTGACCCATCAGCACTGCCAGCCACAGGACTGGGTTTTTTCTGCTTCCCCTCCATCTGCCAGCTTGGCAAGCCATCTCTGCAGGGATCCACACATATCCTGAGACACCTTCAAACAGGCTTCCCTGTCACTGCAGCCCAACACAGTTTCTCTGGGTAAAGTATAAGAGGACCTGAAGGGCTTGATAAGATCACTTTCACTGGTTGCCCAGAAAAAAGCTGTGGCTGCCACATCCTTGAAAGAGTTGGATGGGGCTTGGAGCAGCCTGGAGTTGTGGAAGGTGTCCCTGCCCATGGAAATCACAGGGGATGGAACAGGGTGATCTGTAAGGTCCCTTCCAACCCAAACTATTCAGTGCTTTCTACGGTTACTATGATTTCACTAGTTTCACACGCCATCAAGACCTGCCACAGAGTAGTGAAAGCCCCTTCATTCCCACTCTAGTTGTCCTTAAGGTCACATTTTGTGGTGCTAGCACCATCAAGACCTGCACATCTGTCCTCCACCTCTCCTGCATCCTTATCTCCTGCATTTTCAAGCGGCTCAGCAGAAATTTATGGATCAAAGCTAATCGATAATACCAGAGCCCTTTCACCATATTGCTTTCACTAAATTACTGCATCCTTTAAAAACAGAAATCTTAGCAGACCGCAGTACAATGCCAGACAGACTGTCACTTCCAAATTATGTTTATTTATTCTCCCTCTGCCTCTTGGCTGGCCCCATTACCAGCATATCTCAGTGTCTCTCAGCCATCAGCATATTTGCCTCCCCTCCCTTCCCCCCAACCCCGAGGTACATCTCCTCTCAAGTACAAAGTGGACTGACAGGGCAAGTTTTTGAGCCTATTTAACACCAGCTTTATCTGAGGAGAACCAGATTCAGTGACAGAGCCTCAGAACTAATTACATGAGGGTGCATTCCCGCCACAGAGCCTGGCACGGTGTCACTGCAAACATTTTAACAGCCAGTCCCTGGCCCTCGACTGCCTTTGTGCAGTGTAAAGCAATTATTTGTACCTGCTTGGTGAAAAGTGTCAGCCCCTTCAGAGGAGCTGCGACACAGCAAACAGGCTTCAACCCTTGTTACCCACCAGGAAAAGGGTGTGTGGTGGATCTTGGCTGTGCACAAAGTCACTGGTGCTCCAGCTCAAGCTCCTCAGGGATCTGAATGCAGCAGTTTGTGTATCATTTATCCAGAGAACACCTTGCAGATGAGATGCAGCCAGGCCCAGTGATGTGGCCAAAAGCAGAAATGGGACTCGTGGGCAAGGAAGAAAAGTGCAAATCTCAAACAAGCACATCCTTGCTGAGCCCCACTAGCAGGGAGGAATGGAAGGCTGAGCCCCTCTTTCATCTCCCTTTCGTCAAGTATTTTCAGTCCTTTCCTCTTCCTTTTCACTCTCTGCATCCCACGGGTACCCCTGGTGGAAACTCTTTTCAGCTCTCAGCCCAGGTCCAACTGCTTCCCCTTCCCCTGCTTCAGCTGTTACACTGACACATTCCTACCACATTCCTTCTTTATTCTCAAAATTAAAAAAAAAAGAGGACGTGTTCTGGGGTTTTCTTTACATACCTTTATTACAAATTTGCACAGAGCTGAGCTGACACTGGAGTTAACCTGTAAAGTCTATTAGAGATGATCCTGGGAGACCAGAGAGGGAAAATAAGGAAAGTTGCATTACAGCCTGGAGCAAGGAAGGGAAATAGTTTATCCCTTCCACAGCAGCATGCCTCAGGGCAAGGAAGGAGGGATGGAGGGATGAGATGAGGTTTGTTACAGCGGAGAGCAAAGGAAATTGAGTGCATAAAGGGGGCACAGGGGCAGAAACAAGATAGGAGGGGACATCTCTGCCTTTCCTGGAGGAAAGGACCTGTCTGCACCTCCCAAATTCTCCCTCCATTGGGACTGTGAGGCTCTTTTGAGATCAGAGGCAGCTCAGATATAGCCAGGGCCTTTGGGGTTTAGTCAGAGCTACTGGACCTCCCCAAATTGAAGATCACCTGTGGAGCACCTTGAGTTCACCTGGGGAAGAAGTGCTGAAGACCATATTGCTCCTGGGCAGAAGGTTCCACCTGGGGTAGGTGCTGGCCTCCCCATGCAGAGAGGGAAAGGATGAGCCATCTGCCCAGCCCCAAGAGAGGAAGTTTTCAAGCTTATGGGCAGGAAAATGGGGCTATTCTCAGTGAACTCCTCTGTGGTGCAGAAACAAAGTCCTTTCTCATTAGGGAGGAATTCAATGGGCCTCTCTGGGAATCAGTGCCACAGTGCACAAAAGGTCAGGTCTCCTTCTGGAAGCCTTTTTTTTCATCTGCCAGCAGGAAAAATATTCTAAAATATCACCTAAAGAACTCTGTTCCCCTGTGTTCCCTTCCAAATGCAAAAAGGAGGAAATCACCTCAATGTGGGGAGTGGCAAATCACTGTGGTGGGGATGGCAAATCTCCCTGTCCAGCCCATGGGAGCCACCTGACAGCTTTGTTATTATCAGAGCATGGCTAATTAAGAGGGGAAGGAACAATGGGAACATCCTTTTCCCTCTACAGGGCAGGGTGCAGAGATGGCCACATCTGTGGAGACCCTGCCAGCATCAGCTGTCACGGTGTGGCTGTTTGATGTGAGACTTTCTTAGGGGAAATTCAGTCTCTGGTTGTCCCAGCTGCACCTCTGGTGCTGTCACTGGCCAGAGTCTGCCTGCTTCAGTCATTGTAAATTCTCCCAGTGCTCCACTAAGCTACAAAAATTCGCTTTCCAGTCTCATCTTGGGTGAAGCTATATGGAGAGCCATGTCAGAGCATGTCAATCAGCATATCAGCTGTCAATCAGCATGTCAATCAGCACATCAAACAGCAATCAGAGCCATGTCAACACGAAGGTTTCTCACCTTCATGACCAGTTCCCATCACTCAATTCTGCTTTTGTAGCCTCTGAAAAATCAGATCCCTCAAGACCCATGAAGGTCCATTTTCATATCCCATAGCCCAGCACATCCAACCTTTGCTGAAATCATTTTGAGTCTATGTTACTTGGGAAAACTGAAAATGGTCTGCTCTCTGTTGTAATCTTTCTGTGCCAGTCTCCTTTGATTCTCAAATTGTTTGTGAATATGAAGTTCCACTTCTGTGATCGAGGCGAATTATTTGGTTGAGATAATTTATGGTTACTCTAAACTCAGCATGTTGACTAGGTAGTCATTTATGGATTTTCAAATGGACTTGTAGAGAGCTTTAATCACACATTGTCCAAACCCCAGGACCTGAACTGAAGGAGTTTTGTTTCAGCTCCCATCAGCTACAGAGGTCACAGTTAAGTAAAATCGGCTTAAGCTGGGATTGGAAAGCTGTGTCTGCTACATTAGTAGAGAGATCAGATGACAGATTTGGTCTGGCCTCATTATCTAGCCATAAAAATGTAAGGGCCTGAAGTATTTAGGGAATAGGAATGCAGAGAGCAGGAGGGATTTCTGGAGGATCTCTATGCAGTATTTGCTGTCTGGGAAAATGAGACCCAAGGACCCCCTCCCACCCAAACTGTCTGATGTGAGCTCTTATCTCCAACAACAAACTGAAAGCAGGAGAATCAGTCTCTTCCTTTTGCAAACAGTTCAGGGAACAGGGGCTCCTGTATGTCTACAACATCTTGCATTTATTTTTAGCTTCATCTGTTTGGTTAGTGAGGTCACTGGAGCCCAGGCTTAAACATGTTCCCCTGACCAGCCAAAACTCTGGCTTGCCTGTAGTTATACAGACCCCAAAGAAAAAGAGCAAGAGAGAATTTTATGTCAGTATTTTATGCTAGACTTTGAATCACTGTGTCCTCATTTATTGCAACACTTCTTCTTTAGGTATGAAAATTGCAAAAATACACTTTGAGCAGTTTTGATCAAAAAACCCATTTGATGGGGCTATTTCCTGGCTGAAGTAACCCCCATGCATTTTCCAGTTATTCTGCATTTAGGATTTAATTTACACAGTTTGAGATTAAATAAAAATTTCTAGCCTTTGGTATAAGAACAAACAAACAAACAAACAAACAAACAATCCAGCCTTTCTTCCCCCCAGAGTTGGGAAACATTATCCAAATCACTGCTAGGAAATAAATGTCAGGGTACCTGTTCCATCGTTTCCCTCCTTGTCTAAGCTAGAACATGAGTTTGTGGGGGGAAACTTTCTCATGGAGCCACAGAGGTATTTGCAAATAATGCTTTTTGGAATGATAGCTTGTTCTGCAAATGCAATAAATTCCTAATGGAGTCCCCAAGCCCAGGGCTGGAAGCATGCCAGGACAGAGGTGCTGGAGAGCAGGAAAAATTCATCACTGCTCCACAAGTGAGGTGGGGCTGAGGAGCCTGCAGGAAACCCAGCAGGTGAGAGGGGAGGTAGCACAGCCCTGGGTCTTACAGGGTGAACTCTTTTCCTGACAGGTTTTTTGAGTGCTCTGAGCTGAAACCTCACCTCCACAGCTCCTGCTTGGAGAAAAGATGTCCCCCAAGGAGAAAAACACCTCCAGAAGTGTGCATCTATCCTTATTTTCACTCCTCGAGTCATTCTGGGAAAAGCCCTTTTCTAAATGCTGACTTAACCCTCTATTCCCTAGGGAAATATTCATGTAGCTGCAGGTGACTGAATTAGGGGAGCTCAGAAAAAGTTCCTGT